CCATTTTTCATATGTTCTGAGCAGTAAATGCACACTAAGAAATATCACTACACACACACACACACACACACACACACACACTACATTGAGACTCTTGCAGTTTTCCTATGATATCTCTTCCTCTTTGCAATGATTCTCTCACCTGATTTTACCAGTTTAGGATTCTGGAATGTATGTGTTCTGATGGAGTGTTCCCCCCATGCTGTTCATATTAGCCATGAACACAAGCCTTTTGTCAGCTGAGTCCCATTCTCCTTGAGTGAAATGTTTGTATTCTAACGCTGGAAGGTTGGATCCAGGACAATTCAAGACCACAGAGATTCCCAGATAATCGACAGATGTCTCATCTGGAAGCATCCTGCTCCGCACAAATTGAGGGATCTTACGACTGGGACCCTTTCTCTTATGGTTCTCCTAGTGATAGATTTCCCCAGTATCTCAGAGACTGACGCTCTCCTCTCTCTGTCCCAGTGTTCACTGTACAACGAAGGAGGCTGTGAGGTAGTGGAGACTCCCAATACGTGAAAGCAAACCCTGGCATGACAGTCCCCACATTTCTCCCTAGAAATGTACTCCGTAATATCATGGAGATCTCACTCACTTCACCTCCAAAATCTGTATGTGCATATGTGTGTATGTTGCCTGTGTGTTTGTGTAACTCTAACTCTTTCAAATTAGAAATTAGAAACTTTGAAAAATCTGGAAGCTATCTTTCATTTATATTTTGTCATCTCTGTCACTTCAAGTTCCATTGCTGCTGTCATATCTCTTGAGGTAAGACTATTATCTTCTCCTTCTCCATTAGTTCATGGTATTTGTAATATTACAGTAATCTCACATTCTAGTGCACTTGTTCTGTGCTAAATGTTTGATATCAAGAGAAGAGGGTCCCAGGGGCATGGCCACCAGCTAAATTTCTGGCCTTCAATGCACCAGGATCCCATATGGGCGCCAGTTCTAATCCCGGCAGCTCCACTTCCCATCCAGCTCCCTGCTTGTGACCTGGGAAAGCATTCAAGGACGGCCCAAATCTTTGGGCCCCTGCAACAGTGTGGAATATCCGGAAGAATACCTGGTTCCTGGCTTCTGATGGGAGCAGCACCGGCCGTGTGCTCACTTGGGAAATGAATCATTGGATGGAAGATCTTCTTCTCTTTCTCTCCTCTCTGTATATCTGACTTTGCAATAACAATAAATAAATTAAAAACAAAAAAGAGAGAGAGGACAGTCTGAGAGCACGATCTTCTGTCTGCTGATTCACTCCCAAGTTGCTGCAAAAGGCCAGAACTGAGCCAGTCCGAAGCCAGAAACCAGGAGCTTCTTCCCGATTTCCCACATGCATACTGGGTCCCAAGGCTTTGGGCAGTCCTCTAATGCTTTCCCAGGCCACCAGCAGGAAGCCAATTGGGAAGCAAAAACCCTGGGTTTAGAACCAGTACCAATACAGAATCCCAGTGCATTCAACACAAGGATTTAGCCACTAGGCTATAGCACTGGGCTAAAAGGATATTTGTTTCAAAGTCATGTTTCATGAAGTTCAAATACAGAGATCCAGTTTGATGGCATTGCGTTCAGCAAAATCTTACTCAAGATGTTAACAGCCCCTCCTTTAAAAACCAATTCTCCGCTCAATCCATTGTGAACACTTGACGACACAGCTAGTGTAAACAAGATGTTTGCCTGGATCTCTTTCTCTCTTTAAATCAAGCTTTCCAAAAAAATAACTAAAATTTCCACTCAGCCTTTTTGAATACCAGATGAGCTCCTGTTCTCCAAACTTTAGCCTGGGCGTAACCTGACTGAGAAATTCATTTATGGAATGAAATGTCCCTATATCTATTTGTCTTCTTACACTCAGACATTACCAGCACTATTCAATGCAATGGACTTTGAAATGAAATTGCAGAGAAACACCAAAGGAAAGTGTTTTAAAAACTTTTTAATATATTTCAATGGCAGAGCAACACGGAGGGAAGAGAAAATGACAGATATCAGAACTTAGCTAGGTACACTCCAATTCAGTCAGAAATTCTGTCAGTGGGAATACAACATATATGAATCCCATGTAGCTGAATGTTAAAGCAATCACTCCAAGTGATCTCTCAGTGTAACGGACAGCCTGGGAAAAGAGGAGAGGCATGAAGTTGGTGCAGTGAAAGTCAACAGAATGGGTGTCTATAAAATACGCAAAAAGTAGAAAAGCAAAGGTTAGATAAAAAGTGATCACTGAATTCACAACCAATGTTATGAACTAAAAACACATTAACCCGGGCAATCTGGTAGAGAACTGGATGCAGCGTGGGAAAAGATGACCTAGCAAGCTCTGAGCAATATGGCAGAGACAATATCAATCCTTATCGTTTCTTCATTAGGAAAGAATTATTTCATTAATTTGCAAGGCCTAGTGGCACACAGAAAGGAATTCATAGACAGACATAAAGACAGAGGATCTTCCATGTGGGGTCCTTTCGCAAATGACCTGAAGAGTTAGGGCCAAAGTCAGGCTGAACCCAGAATTCTGGCAATCCACTCAGATTTCCAACCTGGGTGCCAGGGCCTGCACTGACTGGGTCCTTGTCTGCTGCTTTCCAGATGTACCCTTTTCAGATCTCAGTGAAAAGTTCCTCTGGAAACACTGCAGCAGCTCTACAATCCCATTTTTCCCAACAAACCTAATTTACATGTGTCCATCAGTGAGCCCAACCCGTGTTTACTTTACCTTCTAATTCCAATCACTTGTTCAAACTTGTCTCTGTAATCCCATCATGCACTTCTGATTCCTGCTGACATCAGAGGCTCCCATGATTGGGTGGGTGTGGCTTAAGGGCAGGTGGACCATATAAAAGCAGACTTTCCCAGGGCCTTCTCAGCCAACAGCCACTGTCTTCACAGGCAGCAGCACCGCGTCACAGACCTGAAGCCGACTCTGACCACTGACCTTTCTGGACACGTCGGGAGTTCCCAGAGCTGCGACCACTGATAGCAGACACAGGTGAGCATGGAATTTAGGGGAAGACCCTCTTGCACGTTTTGTCTTAGCAGCCTATTGTAAGCTTAGCGGTCAGTTCATACTGGTCTGATTTGAGCAAACAAGTGGCATTCCCACTTGCTTAAAGTAATAGCCAGGCTTATGTATTGGGTCACCTGGCTAAACTTCCGCCTGCAGATGCCATGGTCCCATGTGGGTGCAGATTTTGTGTTGCATGTGATCTAGTTCTGTGCTGCTCCCTGCTTATGCTTAGGAGCAGGTGGAGGATGGCCTGGTGCCTACGTGATCCACAGCATCCTTGTGGTAATCAGAAGATGACTGCACCTGGTGTCAGGTTGACTTGGCCTCAACCTTGTTGCCTTTCTGTGTGTGGCCAAGATAAGGGAGGAGCTTTACATCTGTCTCTGCTTCACTCTATGGCTAGACTTTCCAATAAATGTGAATAAATGCTGTTTTCAGCATGGTGGTGTAAGGGTAATGTCCTTAATGTAATGTGCCGGAATCCCATATGGGTGCCAGTTCTAATTATGCGGGCCAGCTTCTCATCCAGCTCCCTGCCTGTGGGCTGGGAAAGCAGGTGAGGACAGCCCAATGCTTGGGACCGTGCACCCACGTGAGAGACCCAGAAGAATCTCCTTGCTTCTGGCTTTGGATCGGTCCAGATCCTGCTGTTCCGGTCACTTGGGGAGTGAATCATAGGACGAAAGATCTTCCTCTCTGTCTCTCCTCCTCTCTCTATAGTTAGCTTTGCAACAAGTAGAAATAAATAAAGAAATCTTTAAAATAAATGAATTATGGGCTCAATGTGATAGCCTAGTGGTTAAAGTCCTTGCTTTGCATGTGCCGAGATTCCATGTGGATACCAGGTTGTATCCTGGCTTTGGCACTCCGCTTTCATCACCCTTCCAGTGGTTAGGGAAAGTCACTGAGGCCTGTCCAAAACATTGGGCTCCTGCATCTGTATGGCAGAACCAGAAGAGGCTACTGGCTCCTGCCTTCAAATCAGCTTCACTCTAGCCCTTGTGGTTCTTGGGGGAGGTAACCAGCAGATGGAAGATCTTTCCTTCTGTTTCTCCTTCTCTCTCTAAATCTGACATTCCAATGAAACTCAGTACATCTTAAAAATAAAGCAGCCACTCATCAGAGACCTGAAGGAGATTGTGACCATGGACTTTCAGGGACATATCTGGACCTCCCAGAGATGAAACCACTGAAAACAGGCACAGGTGAGGGTGAGGAAGACACCTACTCCTGTCTTCAGTTGCTCTTGGCTTCAACCTTGTTGTTTACGGAATTTTTTGGTTTTATTTTTAAGATATATTCATTTATATTACTAGTAGTATTTATTTATATTGCTAGTATTTATACTTTATATTGCTAGTATATATATATATATATATATATATGAAAGAGAGAGTGCGAAAGATGGTGAAATCTTCCATCTTGGGAGTCACTTACTAAGCAAATGTATCTGCTAGAGCTCAGCCAATCATAGTCCAAGGCCCCTGAACCACTTCTGAGTCTCCCACACGGGTGTAGGCATCAAGACTTGGGTTGTCCCCAAATGCTTTCCCAGGCCACAGGCAGAGAACATGTTGGGAAGCAAGGCCTCCTGGATTAAAGCAGTTGCCAACATGGGATCTCAACGGGTTCAGGGCAGGAATATAGACAATAGGCCTCCTTGCTGGCCCTCCTAAGGAAATCTGTAACATACTTGAAACAAAGCTGATACTTGACTTATTTTCTTATCTATTGCCTTATAGACCTAGCTTGTGTCTGTACTTCTTAAATTGAGCTTTGTATGGTGCTTACTTAATAATGAGGATACCCAGAGCCCAAGTAGGACAGAGCTGCACACTCATCTTTGCTTTGTTGCCTCAGGAGAGAATTACGAAAATAATCTCTAAATTTACAGTGTCTGCAGAGAATCATGGATCCATTCATGTTACAAGAGTTCCAGAGCAATGTCACATGCAGCATTTGCTGCCAGTATTTCCTGGATCCTGTCACAATGGAGTGTGGCCACAGCTTTTGCCGACCCTGCATCTACCTGAGCTGGGAAGAAGGCTCATCGCCACTCTGCTGCCCAGAGTGTAGGCAGAAGTCAGAGAAGACAAACTTTAAAACCAACATAAGACTTCAGAAACTGGCCACTGCTGCCAGGATGGACAGAATGAGGCAGGTCCCCAGCTCACATGGGCAGGTCTGTGGTGCACACAGCGACGCCACAGGACTACTGGGTGACTTGGACAAGAACTTGTGCTGTGAGTCTGCCTCTGAATCTTCCAAAGCCAACAGACATGGCCACAGCCAGCTGCAGTTTGCTGCTGAGGAATCCAGGGTGAGTGATATCTAAACGGCTGGGCAGGATCACAGAGACCTCAAGTTGGAGAGAAAGATGTGGACTTAGGCTCATGGGTAGGTGAGAAAGACATTGTAGAGGTGGTCTCTTCACTATATGTCCCAAGAGGCTAGTATGTCCTTCAATGCTGTGGTTCAGTTTGGTCAAGTATCTGTGTTTGGGGGTTTTGTCTTGAAGAGCCAACTTGGAAACAGTGTCCATTCACCCTCAGTCAGTTAGGGTTGATACAGCCAGTGGTCTGCAACAGTGCCTGCTTCACGGCCAAGTCACACACACAGTTTCCTGCAAATGTTGTATACTGCCTTCAGGCTTACTTCAGAAATTGTATTGTAATCTTCTGTCATGTCCGGTGTTCTAGATATCATATGCAAAATTGGCTACTGTGTGACAATGTGAAGACATACTCTATATAAAATCACTAACAAAATACTAAAAAGGCAAGGAAAGGCAAGAAAGGAGTGGGAAGAAAATGGCCAGGCCACCATCATGTCCCACAGATCAGGAAGGGGAATAGTCACAATCTCATCTTTTTGTCTCTTAACCCTGAAATTATTATTTTACAGGGAACAATTCTAAAGGAAATGAATGCTTTATGGGAATTCATGGAGGAGCTAAAAATCCATATTCCTGAGGAAATAAGGAAGAAGAGTTCATTTATGGTAAGAATGAAAAGATTGAATACAATGAACATAACACCTTACACCTTTGAGCAATTTCCACTTCCTCTTCAAGGATAGTGATTTCCTCACACCCAAAGCAGAGTGTTCCAACGATAACTCTCTCACTAGCTGAAAGAGCTGGTGAGAAGGATACTAGAGGAAATCATCATCCCAGCTATTCCTGGTCCAACTTAGAAGTGTTACACAAATCTTCTCAGACACACAAATACTAAAATACCAAAAGAGAAATACATAGTACCAGTATGGAAAATAGAATAATTGCACAAATATCTGTGTGCTGTGTAATGTTTATGCATCAAAAGAAAAAAAAAACAGACAAAGCAGACATAAAGGCCAGGAAACAAATGGTATAGAAATGAATAGAATTAGTGATGCAAGTAGAACATTGATGAGGAAGAGGGTGAGAGAAGAGATGGAAAGTGAGACAGATATCTAGAGAGAGACCCTGAGTTCCTTCTGGAGTATATTTGAAGAGAAAAGACTAGAAGTGTGCAGAGGCATTCGTAGCACCCCACAACACCTAAGAAATGGTGTACTAACGCAGCATAAAATTGGTAAAGTATTCCTTGAGAGTTTTCCAGTATTTGAAGATACATGTGACAGAGAGGGAGAAATACAAACAGATATGTTCCATGTGCTGTTTCTCTTCCCAAGTGGGAGGAAGAGCCATGGCAATGTTAGGCTGAATGAGGCAGCCTGGCCCTGCACCTGCAGCCCTCATGTGAGCCATCAAAGGCACAAGCCCTTAGGCCATCCATGCTGCCTTAGCACATTAGAATGAGCAAGAGGTGAAGCAGAGAGGCTGCAACAGGTGCTCCTAGGGAAGGTAGGGTCAACTCAGCTAATGATATGAGATGTTTCAAACTCCTGTTAAGTGTGAAGCTATGCAATTCTCATAAGCTAATATCTCTCTACAGGAGTATGTGTCCCTAAGGGAGGAGATGATCAAGGCACAGTATCAGAAGATGCATATGCTTCTTCATGAGGAAGAAGAGCTGCACCTGCAGAGACTGCACAGCGAAGCACGGGAGCTTTTGCAGCAGCTCCAGGACCGTGAATCGAGCATGACCCAACACATAGATTGCGTGAAAGAAAAATACAAAGAGCTGGTTGAGATGTGCCACAAGCCTGACATGGAGTTACTGCAGGTGAGCAGGGAAGGGCCACGTTCAGAGACATGTGTGCTTCTCTGAGCAGGTGATCAGGACACTAAAATGTTAACTGCACCTATAGCTACTCGCAGCTGCATGGCACGTGTGTAATGAATGACTCAAAGATTTGATTGCCCGAACACTTAATTCTGCATGGGCAGAAAACCTTTTCTGTGTCTTTCTGATAATACATCGGATAAAATTCTCTACTTTATAATCAAAATGCTGCTCCCAGAAAAAGTCATACAGAAATGTGATCATGACAGTGTAACATGTTTCTTATCCATTCTGAAAATCAGCAAGCTTCCTGTGTTGAGCAGGATCAGCCATCAAAAGGTGAAAGGATTAGGAATTCATTTTTCTCTAAGGAAACTGCAGCCAGGACTCAAGAATATACTGATATTTAAAAGACTAATTTACACGACCCTGGACAATGCTATCCATTTGTAATTGGCTACCTAGAAAAGTATCCCCACTGCCTGCCTTTTGAGAACACTCTGAACTTTAATCTAAAAGCAATTGGCTGAAGAACTTGGAGGCTTTGCCCTTTGCTTGGGCAGGATCAGTCACCCATTGCAATGCACTCTGCTTTTCAGACAGCTCTCTTCTCTGCTTAGCACTGTAGTCAGAAGTGCTCAGCTCTCTCTAGGAATGATAGCTGGGACTTGATCTTCAGCCTACATCCTGTGGCATCTCTTCACAGCTTCATGCTGAGGTCCACCTATTTTGGGCTCACACTGGAATTCCTTCATGAGGTAGCTCAGGTTCTGTTACTTGCTGATGTTGATAATTCTTAGTAATTAAAGCAAACCACATTCACAAAAATGATGAGTTTTCCACAAAAGTTCAATGAAAAAGTTCTCCAAATTAACTGCTTTTTGTCTTTTTTTTTTCCTTTCAGAATGTGAAGACAGAATTGGAAAGGTGAGTGTAGAGCAACCATCTCTGATGGGTGAGAAATTGTGTCCCTGATGATGAGTCAGGTGCTTGTAATTTGCTCTTTTAACACAATTCTGTCAGTCTGTGTCCCCATATAGTGGAGCAGGGGTTCTCATCACTTTTCTCCTTGGTTTAAGTAAGTTTAGAAGTGGCTGACTTCAAATGTGGGAATGTATGGTTCTGCTTTCTGGAGTCGGCTTCACCCTGTCTGTCCTCTCTGCTCCTTCTGCTACTTCAGTATCTTAACAAACCAAGTGGTGGGAAAGTAATATGAGCACAGGAAAGAGGAGGATTCCTCAGGCTGGGAAGAGAAGGGAGGCTTTGCTCTTGGAAGTAGCAGTGAGCAGGCCTTGCTCTCTCCTAGAATTTCCCATTTTCAGAGCGGATCAGGGGGATCCTCTGACTCAGCTTCCCCAGGACCAGGGCTGCCAGGCTGGAATTGTTTTTCCTTGTGTGGCAGACATGCCCCAAGCCTCCTGGCTCAGATGATGTTTCGCTGATGTGCTGTTGGGGATGTCTGCTGGTAGATTGCCATAGATTATTGCCAGTGATTTAGGCTCTATAAGTTTGCCAGAACTCTACTTTCCCTGAAAGAGGGGATACTGGTAGAATCCGCATGCTGGCCAATATTTCAGGGATACAAACACCTTAGAAGATGAGGCAATTCGATGTGATGTGATATTCAGAACGATTAACCATTTATCACAATGAAGTAGTGAGTGAAATTTATCTTCAAAAACCTGCTAAATTAAGACCCTCAAGCAACATTGCTTGTGTACACTGTAGAAGTCTTTGTGACTGTGTGATTGCCCTTGCCTGAAGTGTCATGTGTTGTTCCTCACAGAGCAGAGCTCATACGGAGATACAGGCCCCAGCCAGTGGACCCTGTACTGACTTCTTGGAGCATCAGTGGACTTCGACAGATGCTGAATAATTTCAGAGGTAAGCATCAGCCTGCATCAGTCTAGCTCTCATTGCCTTCTTCAGTGTGTGGGACATGAGCCCTTTCCCAGATTAGTCCATGTTGCGCACCTGGAAACACAATAGGGTTTACTGAAATGTTATCTTTGCCCTTTGCTGAATCACTTTACTACAGTGATCCAAACTGAGCTTTGTAATGAAGCTTCTAAACAGAAAGATGATTTTGGGCTCAGTCGCAGGGAGCTGGGTTGCAAGTGCATCTGACTGGAAACAAATCGGCCCCATGAGGGATATAGGCTCCCATAGTCAATATTTTGATCTGCATTTTTCACTATAATGTAAATGATGTTTAGGCAAAAAAAAGTCCATAATCTTGGTAGCATGACAGCAACCTGAACATGTCCCTTCTCTTTTTTGTCCATGTTCTGTTTCTTGCCAGGATGACACTTGAGGTATTTTTATGCAAAAAAGAACGAAAGAAAGAAAGATCTGATTCTAGAACATGGAATTGGTATTTTATTGACTAGTTTTTGATTGTGTGCTTCTTTTTTGCAGTGTCTAATGGTTTGAAAAAGAAAGTGGCGAGTCGCTACCTACACCTTTCTGAGGATCTCAGATATCACATATTTGGAGAACACCGTGATGCTCCCAGTCAAGGCCCAAGAGCACAGAGTTTTGTTGCGTGGGGTGCACCGACCTTCCGCTCTGGCAAGCATTACTTCGAGGTGGATGTATCGCACTCCTCCAACTGGATTCTAGGACTCTGTAGTGATTCCAGCATAGATGACCCCGATACCATTATTAACACAGAGGGTGCATTTTTCCTTTATTCCATGAATCATGGTGATGGTCACATTCTCTGCACCAGTTCTCCATTTTTACATCACTATGTGGAGAGGCCTGTGGGTCAGGTCGGGGTGTTTGTTGATTGTGAATATGGAATGGTGAGCTTCTGTGATGTTTCCCAAAGTTCCCTCATACATTGTTTCCCTCCAAACTCCTTCTCCTACCCTCTGAAGCCCTTCCTTTGCATGGATACTCAATAAATTGTCAAATTTTATAATTGTTTTAGTTAACTGTCAGGGTGGATAATCTAACAGTGTTAAAATGTTTCTCATGGGAGACATCACAGTCTTTGTATGCCTTGTATCTAATGGAGGGTAGATTAATTGTAACCACTGTATGTTGCTAAATTGGACAACCACATGGAATGTATGAAACTTTATATGAAATTTAACTTTAATAAAGAATATTATAACCAATGCTTGTCTGATTCTAGTACCTGTTCAGCATCCCCTATAGGAATCCAACACCCGTTGATGAGCCAACAATTCTTAAAGGTCTCATATACAGGTGCTTTTGTCAAGAAATTGAGCCATCCTCCAATGTTTTGCTAGACCTTTTCAATAAAAATAAGTAAAACATAAATATAAAAAACATTCTGCATTTGGTCAGAAGTGCATTCTCATGGCAGAATTGCAAGGAGCACTTAGTTAGTCTTAATGCCCGTTTGAGAGAAACTGGTACAGAACAAATGCTGTATAGTATTCAAAATAGGATATTGTCCTAAAAATTCATTTCTCAGATCAAGACCTGTGTTTCAGAGACCACTGAATGTACTAACTTAATATATAAAAGAGGACCCACAATAAAAGCAAATGCATAGTTTAAAACAGTAAAGATGTACACGGAGCCAAGTGAACTACACCTCACAAGAGAGAACAGAAATCAGGATGGCGCACATGTCATGCCGAACGAGGCTCTTACACCAACTGGTCTGCATAAGCCATGGATACTAGGCCTCAGCATCGAAGGCAAAGGCTGAGACAGGTGAGAGGCTAAGCCAACTGGCTCAAAGCAGCCACTGGCACATGCGTAATCTATGGCTGGGAATTGACTCAGTTGGGGAGCTGTGAGAGTACACCCTTGCTGGGTTAGGCTTCCCACAGGAGAGTGCGGAGGCCAGAGTGGAGGCTGCATTCTGGTCTGGATATGGCTACAATCTCCCCTGACACCAGTATGGCCTGGGGATGGGAGCACAGATCTGGTCTAGACGTCAGCACCATCTGGTGCTCTGGAGAATCTGGGTAGATGTTGGCTGGACTAGGCCAGGTCTCTGCCCCTTCTGAGCCATGTATGAGCAGTGTCTGGGTATGGACAAGCCTTGGCTGGGGTGAAATATCATACACCAAGAACTAGAATGAACTGAAGGCCAGTAATGAGAGCTGGCCCATGGAACCACCAGTACACGCAAGACCTGGCATAGGGAGAGGTTCTGATGGAGGAGCTTGGGAAACTCCTCTGTCGGAACACAGTCCCTACAGGTGCATCATGATAGGCAGCAACCCGGACCAGGCCAGAGGAGGATACCCACCATCATACATATGGCATAGGTAGGGGGCAGACCAGGCTGAACCCATTCACGTCACCCACACAGAATAGAGTGTGAATCGGACCGAGTTTGGTTGAGACACAACCCAGTGCATATTATGGAAAGCCAAGTTGGCATGAGCCATACCAGATGTGGTTGCAGTGCCCAAGTAGCACATGTGAGAACCATGGGGTGAAGTGCAAAGCTGGCAGGCAGAATGTGTGCTCCTCTGCTGGACAACCACTCCCACTGGAAAGTGTGAGTTGGGATGGGGACAGACCAGATCAGGAAGGGCTACAATACTTGTGGTCCTCATGTGAGCTAGATCAGGAAGGGTCCGGTTGGGCTGACTACTACTATGGGTGCAAGCAAAAATTACAGTGGGTGAGGGTGGTTGAGCTTTGCTGCAACATCAAATGGCAGACTTTGGCACTGGGGGCTTAATCTGTCTAGCTAAACTCCAGAACCACCTGGAAATTGCATAATCCCAGAGTGGGAGTTGCCTAGTAGGGAGATAGTGGGCACCTTCCTCTTGGGTTACCACTCCCACTGAAGAATACAATAAGCAGCACAGAGGCAGATGTGGCTATGCAGGAAGCCACCCGCCAGTACATGTAAGGGACTGGGTAGTAGGGTTGGTAGGGTTGAACTACGCTTCAATGCCCACTGACATGTACGAGAGGTAAATGGGATGTGGGATAGACTGAACAAGTCTGCAGTACATACGGGCATGCATGGGAACCAGAGTAGGGGGCAGGCCTGGTGGGGGTTATGGAGAGTCACCCCAACTAGCCTGCAGCTCCTACAGGTTTGCTTAAGAACGAGTATGAAGTAGGTAGGATTGAGCTGGACTGCAACACCCATGGTTCGCGTGGAAACAGGGCTGAAAACAGAACAGACCCAGCAATTGCAATGACCAACATGTGCATAAACTGATTGGGGCGACAAAATGTGCCAGACCCTGTACTGGCAAATTCACACAAGAGTTAGGTCTGGGATCACCTGAGACGAAGTTTCTTTGGAGATCCCTCCGACTGAACTGCTGATTTCAGTACTCCAACCATGAGGAGACTATGTCAGCCCGTGTATTCTGAACAGGTTTCATCGCAATTGGAACGGCGAGATTGGCAGCAATTCAGAACTGTTGAACTATTAAAGCTTCTTGAGCAGGATGCTCGGAGTGTGCCTCACACTGGGGACCTGGGAGGCTGGATAGGGCTTCTTCCTTTGCTTCTCCCCTGATCCCAGCTACAGGGAAAAAAAGTGATGATATTAGTGTGGAAACAATGGCATTACCCCAACCATCAAAAGAGATGTACATTGAGAAGGAAAATTAGACACAAAGATCCTCGATCTGTTAATTCACTCCCCAAGTGCCTCTTCCTCTCTATATTACTTTATAAATACATGTATTTGTATCATGGGTGGCACTATGGTTCAACTAGCTCATCCTCCCTCAAGTGCTGGTATCTCATTTAGGTTGTGGTTAAATGAACAGATTTGCTGTGTCTGTTCTACTTGCCTTCCATCTCCCTGCTTGTGGCATGGGGAAGCAGTGGAGCACGTCACAAAAACCCGAGTTCCAATAACCACATAAGGAACCTGGAAAAGTGTGCTGGATCCTGCCTTTGGATCACATCACCTGTACTGTTTATGTCGATTTATTGGGAGACCAGCAGGAGCAAGATTATTCTCTCTGCCTCTACTCTGTGTAATCTGCTTTTACAACAACAAAACCTTATATATGTAAGTGACTACGTTAGTATATTTAAAGATTAATAGATAAGTTATGTGCTAATTATATTTTCAACTATTCCACACTGATCCAGGTGCCTGCCACTGACCAAGCATTTTGGGTGGAAGGAAATTTCTAGATTTAGGAGACCTAGAAGGACTTCCTGATACCTGGCCTTGGCCTGATCTAATCTAATAGGGTGGAGGCAATTGGAGAAGTAAGCCAGCAAGTGGATACATTTCTCTCTCTCTTTCTTTCTCTCTCTCTTTTTCCATATCTTTCATTCTAATCAATATTCCAAATCAATCATCCAACTAAAGAAAAGAAGAAAAGCAAGTTCAACACATGAATGTAAACATATTAGTTGATCCTGTCTGAAACACAAATCCAATATGTAGTTTAACCATTCAGTCAAGTATTCAGTAATGGTGGCAGTACATGGGGTATGGATTGTGAAATTTGAAATAGTAACAAATTTAAAGATTTCCAACAATTAAGTGAAACAACTCAAAAAATTCTCGCCTTATTGCCCTTTAGTATTTGAACATTAACAATGGGTCTTGACTAATTTTGATTGCATTCAGAATCCACTCTGCAAAATCAAAATTGGTTCACTCTACCAAGACTCAGGATATTTGAAGAAATATCCCCATCAACCAGACAAGTTCCTTCTTAAAGCAGAGGACAAGGCTACGATTCAGAGTGTCCACTCTTAGGCAACATCAAGGCTTTTACAGACCTGAGAGCACTCCCTGTGCATTGGAAGGTACTCTGGCATATGCAACAGTCAAAGCCTAGGGCAGCACACAAGCCGATGAGTGAGGTGAACAGTGAGTGTATTTTTGATTTGGTCTTAGTGTGGCAGAGTACAAGAATCAACTATGAATTCTTTTCCTTTAGGAAACTGAACTTGGACATCCTACACCAGGTTCAGCAAGAACACACTTGTGCCTTCTTCCTCAACTACATAGTGGACCCAGTCACCATAAGATTTGGGCATACATATGCGGTTATGGACGAGCCATGGCTGGGCTGAAACATCCAACAACAAGAGCCAGGTGAGTCGAAGGCCAGTCAGGAAAAGCCACTGTTCCTGCTTGGACAGGAGGTGAACTGAGTAGGGCTGGCTCATGGAACCCCTGGTATGCACAAAATCTGGCATTGGGAGAGGTTCTGATGGAGGAGCCTGGGCAACTCCTCTGACAGGACACAGACCCTGCGCGTAAGCGCAAAAAGCCTGACTGGAAACAGCCCAGAGTAGGCCACAAGAAGTTTCTCACTGGCATACATTAGGCATGGATCGGGGGCAGACCAGGCTGAATCAGTACACATCATCACTGGCAAATCTGAGCACCAGAACAGAGTGAGGGTCGAGCCAGGTTCGGTCGCAATAAAAACCAGTGCTCAATACAGAATGCCAGGATGGGGTTGTCTGTACCGGATGTGACTGAAGTGCCCATCCAGCACACATGAGAACCAGGAAGGGAGCAGGCAGCAGAGCCAGCAGGGGAGTAAGGGATGGTACCCCTGCTGGACAGCTACTCCCACTGGAGAGCATGAACTGGGATGGGGGCAGACCAGACGAAGCAGGACTACAACACCTGCTGCCTCTGCTTTCCCAAGAGGGCTGGGAGAATGATGAACTCAATGCTCATTAAAAATTTTAATTCCACATAATAGTGGTGGTCATTTTGGCAGAAAGAACTCAGAATGAGAGATTGCATCAACTACTGAGGGTGGTTCCTAAAGCTGCTATGGAGAATTATATTTACTAAACATGCAAACAAACAAGAACATCAGCATTGGAATTGATGGGGACAAAACATCAGTAGATTAAAATTGAGTTTCAGGGTACTAAACACATTAAATGGTAAGCATGCATGTTATTGAAAATAATTTTCCTATGATCACATTATACTTTGGCAGCTAATTATTAAATATTACAAAATGCATAATTTAAAGGCACTGAGGGAAATAATAGGTTCCTTCTACATGTAAGGATGTACTTTTATCTCAAAATTCTTAGTTGTCTCCATCACTTCTGGGTCTCATATCTAAACCCCTCAAGTTTCCCTGTTGCTCAAATTCAGATCTTTTACAGGAGACGCTGGTGAAGCAAATGAGATCATTTTGGAAACAGATGCTAGAAAACCAGAGGACCTGAATGAGCAGAGCATAACACTCTCTGAGTGGAAGGTGAGTAGGAGACCGTGTTTCCTTCTCAGCAGCCCGAGACAGACCTGATAGACAGTGGACATTCATCAACAGAGCCACAACACTCGGGTTCACAGGGAAGATTTTCTGATAACTGTTTGCATGGAATATGATGCTAAGAGTAGCCTGATGTTTAGAGAGAAAGGTGCACCCTGACTCAGAAAGGTTTCACATGATAATTTTAACTTGTCCAAGCATCTGAAGATTGCCAGTGATAATTCATTGACAAATTCTAAATACAAAGAAGTCACATGAAGTCTTTTGGGCTTGAGAGATCATCTTTTAAAAGACACTAGCACAGAAATGTTCTCTCAAGGTCTTTCAAGCATTCAAGTGCATGAAAATGGTGTGAGCAAGAATGGGATGGGCTCATTGTCCCGTTCCTAATGAGTAGACAATGAGGAAAGCAAAGAGAATAATGTGTGGTTTGTGAGAAACTTACTGTAGCAGGCTATATGCATGTCTTATTGTCAGAGGTTGTGAGTCCAAGTGAATGGGAGAGACTGAAGTGTAAACAGATGGAGTGACCTAGGAAATCTGTGTCCCCACATTGACATGTGACTTGGCTTTTCACGGAGAGAATCCACATCCTCTTTAAAACCCCTGTCTTATCCAAGGGACACTCCATGAAGATCAAAGAGCCTCCAGAAAGCTGACTGTGTCTAATTCCAAAAGAGAAACACACTTGGGACAGGATTCTTCAGCCTCAGCCACAGATGCACTACTGGCTTATTTGCACTGCAGAAACAGACTCTCCATTTCTTCCGATTGTCTTCAGTTGGGCAAAAGCTACAAGCAGCAGGGCACAGGTGCAGCTTCACTAGATGTACAGTTGGCTTTTCACTATCCCTGCTCTGGTCCCAGGACTGAGCATCCCAGAGCTCCTCCATCTCCACCTAGCGGCCTAGGGCTGCTCCTGCAGCTATCCCACAGGCACCTGTGGTAGTCCAAGGGAGGAGGAGATGGATGCAGAGCTGAGGGCGGGTCCAGGGCGTGGTTCTCAGACCTCCCAGCTCCATCCCAATCCTATCCACCTATGGCTGGGACTGGGCGGAACCGGACTCGCCCTGAGGGAGGATTCTGCCTGGAATCTCACTGTGCAGCAGCAGCTGATTCCAGAGAAACAGCAAGGTCAGGGAATTCGCAGAACTAGGATCTTGCCAGAAAGATACTCCAGCCAACAGCTAATTAATTCATCATGTAACTAAAAGGCCATTTCCACTGAACCTTAGGAGACCCACTCACTTCCAGCTGCAGAGTTTGGGAAAGAGTCTCAAGGACACTGCCTGAAGCTCTCCTGACCACAGGGTTTCTTGCAATTACAGAAGACGTTTTCTACCTCCTGCAAGATTTCTCATTGACCCCGCTGAAATCCCGTCCACTCTACAGACTGTGCTTCTTGTGGAAATTCATCCAAGTGATGGAACCAGAGGTTTCTCCGTCTGTCCACAGACTCTGCTGAGATGGAGACCTTGAGAGAGCAGACCCTGCCCTGCTCCCTAAGTCCCTGGGTCTGTCCTAAGAATCACCTGTGTGTGCTCACCACACAGAGGCAGCCTCTGTCAGAAATGAATTTCTGGCACAATCCTGCCTCGTTTTGTGTGTTTGTTTGTTTTGATGTTTTAACACGATTATTGAGGAAGAGCAAGGAAATGTAGAAGGCAGGTGCAGAGGAAGTAGGAAAGGAGGGAAATTTTACTAGGATCATGTGTGAATAAAGTGAATCAGTAAGTAACTAAGGGCTGCTCCAGCTGATCCTCTGCCTGCCACACTGGCTTCCCATATCGATGTGGCTTCTCCTATCGATGCTGGTGTGTATTATTATTATTATTATTATTATCTCCAATAAAGCTGCAGCAACTGCTTATAGTCTGAGGAATCAGCTTCTGCACCTGTGAGGGAGACCAAGAGAAGCTTCTGTTCCCTGGCTAGGATGAATTATGCACCTGCCATTGAAGCATTTGGAGAGTTAACCGATGGATACGAAAGCTTTCTCCCAGTCTCTGTTTGCATGGAATATGATGATAAGTATAGCCTGATGTTTAGAGAGAAAGGTGCAGCCTCAGAAAGTTTTCAGATGAAATTTTCCCGCTAGTACAAGCATATGAGAGTTGCCTATGAGTATTCATGGACAAATTCTAACTCCAAAAAATTCACATGATGTCTTTTGGGCTTGAAAGATCATCTTTTAAAAGACACTAGCAATGAAATGTTCTCTCCAGGTCTTTCAAGCATTCAAGTGCATGAAAATGGTTTGAGCAAGAATGGGATGGGCTCTTTGTCCAGTTCATAATGAGTAGAGATTGAATGACAAAAACAAGGAGAAAAATATCTGGCCTATAGGAATCTCACTATAGCAGGCCATATGCATGTCTTATTGTCAGAGTGTGTGAGTGAAAGTTAATGGGAGAGCCTGAAGTGGAAAGGGATGAAGTGACTTAAGAAATCTGTGTCCCCACATTGACATGTTTCTCCGCAGAGTGAGAATACCAGGGCATCTTCTGAGATGCTGCATCCAGGTCCACATCAGGATGAAAAACAACACATGGACACACTTCAAAAGTAACAGGATAGGATTTTCCAAAAACTTGAGGAAAGCAAAGCTAAAATGGTTCTAAAGTAAACACAACTAAGACAAATGTATAAAGAGCTGATGAAAATATACCATCAACCATAGGTGGAGCTGCCTCAGGTAAGAAATTAAATGTGCTCAGCTAGCCCTTTCATTTGATCACATTATATATATATACATATATACATATAGTGATAGTGTGTAAGAAAACACAAAATACATATTACCATATATATGCATATATACACACATATACACATATATGTATATATATACGTATTTTACTGTACATACATAATTATTTCTGTATTGAATTTACCTTTTCTTTGTGCATGATGCAGTTCCACAGGCTTCAGATGTCCCTTCCCTCATCCCTGAGTGCTCTACTTCCACTGATTCCTCCATATAATTACAGCAGTACAGCCCTTCACACACAGTCCTAAGTCCAAAGAAAGCATTTCCTTTTGAAATTGGCCTTTTTTAACTCATTCTCTAGAAAGAGAAAAAAGAATTGCTTACTCACCGAATGCCTGTATTTCCTCCACTGGTCACCTCAGAGATGTTTGCAAAGGACCAACATTCCGCCTCTATTATCAAATGGTTTTCCTCTCAGTTGCCCTTAACCTGAAGGGTGTGATCCTTTGGGGACAAGCTAGGAAGACACTAGCTACCAGCTAGGGGCTCCCTGAAAGATTCTACATTCTAAATTCCCTGCAGATTCTACATTCATTACCATTTGCTTGTGTGAATATGTTGGGAGGGGATAATCTTTACAAATTCAAAGGAACATGAATGTAAGAAGGAGATTGGGGTGAAGGTGGTTGGTAGTTGGTAGACTCAATGCCTGGGAGGGAAGAATAGCCCTTTCCTAAAGACATCTAACCTTTTGGTGGTGTTGTTGTTGTTCAGGATTTGGGCGACCTAGTAAAAAGGTATGTCTCAGCTCTGTGACAAAATCGGGTCACATGGGCCCGGCGCAATGGCCCAGCAGCTAAAGTCCTTGGCTTGAACGCGCTGGGATCCCACATGGCCGCCGGTTCTAATCCCAGCAGCTCCACTTGCCATCCAGCTCCCTGCTTTTGGCGCTTTGGGACCCTGCACCCATGTGGGAGACCTGGAGGAGGTTCCTGGCTCCTGGCTCCGGATAAGCACAGCACCGGCCGTTGCGCTCACTTGGGGAGTGAATCATCGGAGGGAAGATCTTCCTCTCTGTCTCTCCTCCTCTCTGTATTTCTGACTTTGCAATAAACATAAAAATAGCCCTGCCGCCGACGCTGCTACCGCCGCCACCGCTGCCACCGCCACCACCGCCGCCAGGACTCAGCTCTGGTGCGTGGAGCTGGGCAAGAGGCGCGTGGCGACGCGGCCTTGGGACTGTGCTGGCTCCAGTGACAGCAGGGAGCAGAGCGGCCCGGGCCCTGAGCGCGACTCCTCCAGGGGCCCTCGCCATCCTGCTCCTGCTGACGTGGCTGGCGCTGCTGCTGCTGCTGCTGTTGCTGCTGCTGCTGGCGGCTGAGGCGGCGAGGTTTATCATGTCCGGCCCTCGCTGCGCTGGCGGGGGCGCTGCCTGCACCAGCTCGGCGGCCGAGGTGGTGGAGCCCGCTGCCAGCGAGCTGTTGGAGGAGTGCTGCTGTGCGGACGCAGAGTGAGTCAAGAGGCTGGTGACGCCCCAGGGCGGGCAGGAAGTCCACCCGCTCCACTTCGCCGCAGGTTTTGGGCGGAAAGATGTAGTTGAATATTTGCTTCAGAACGGTGCAAATGTCCAAACACTAGATGATGGAGGCCTTATTGCTCTTCATACTGCATGTTCCTTTGGTCATGCTGAAGTAGACAATCTCCTTTTGCAACATGGTGCAGATCCAAATGCACGAAATAATTGGAATTATACTCCTCTTCATGAAGCCGCAACTAAAGGAAAGATTGATGTTTGCATTGTACTCTTACAGCATGGAGCTGAGCCAACGATTCAAAATACCGATGGAAGGACAGCACTGGATTTAGCAGACCCATCTGCCAAAGAAAGATGAACTATTGGAAAGCGCAAGGAGTGTCAATGAAGAAAAAATGATGGCTCTACTTACAGCATTAAATGTCAACTGCCATGCAAGTGATGGCAGAAAGTCAACTCCGTTGCATTTGGCAGCAGGATACAATAAAGATTGTACAGCTGTTACTGCAACATGGAGCTGATGTTCATACTAAACATAAAGGTGATCTGGTGCCATTACACAATGCTTGTTCTTATGGTCATTACGAAGTGACTGAACTTCTGGTCAAGCATGGTGCATGTGTAAATGCAATGGACTTGTGGCAATTCACTCCTCTTCACGAAGCGGCTTCTAAGAACAGAGTTGAAGTCTGTTCTCTTCTCTTAAATTATGGTGCAGATCCAACACTGCTAAATTGCCACAATAAAAGTGCTATAGATTTGGCTCCCACACCACAGTTAAAAGAAAGATTATCATACGAACTTAAAGACCATTCATTGCTGCAAGCTGCACGAGAAGCTGATGTGACAAGAATCAAAAAACATCTGTCCTTGGAAATGGTGAACTTCAAGCATCCGCAGACACATGAGACGGCATTGCACTGTGCTGCTGCATCTCATATCCCAAAAGAAAGCAGATATGTGAACTGTTACTGAGAAAAGGAGCAAACATCAATGAAAACACTAAGCAATCCTTGACTCCTCTGCTTGTTGCATCTGAGAAAGCTCATAATGATGTTGAAGCAGTGGTGAAACCTGAAGCAAAGGTCAACGTTCTGGATAATCTTGGTCAGACTTCTCTACACAGAGCTGCACACTGCTGTCATCTGCAAGCCTGCCATCTCCTTTTGAGCTATGGGTGCAATCCTAACATCATATCCCTCCAGGGCTTTACTGAATTACAGAAGGGAAATGTGCAGCAAGGGAAATGTGCAGCAATTGGTTCAAGAAGTTATTCCATTGGGTAATTCAGAGGCTGACAGTGGCTGGAAGCTGCAAAAGCTGGAGATGTAGAAACTGTGAAAAAACTGTGTACTGTTCAGAGTGTCAACTGCAGAGACATTGAAGGGTGTCAGTCTACCCCACTCCAGCTTTTGCAGCTGGATACAACAGGGTATCTGTGGTGGAGTATCTGCTACGACATGGGGCTGGTGTGCATGCTAAAGAAAAAAGAGGTCTTGTATCTTTGCACAATGCATGTTCTTATGGACATTATGAAGTTGCAGAACTTCTTGTTAAGCATGGAGCAGTAGTTAATGTAGCTGATTTATGGAAATTTACACCTTTACATGAAGCTGCAGCTAAAGGAAAATAGGAAATTTGTAAACTTCTCCTCCAGCATGGTGCAGACCCTACGAAGAAAAACAGAGATGGAAATATTCCTTTGGATCTTGTTAAAGATGAAGATACAGATATCCAAGATTTGCTTAGGGGAGATGCAGCTTTGCTAGATGCTACCAAGAAGGATAATGTAAATTGTCGTGATACCCAAGGCTGACATTCAACACCTTTACACTTAGCAGCTGGTTACAATAATTTAGAAGTTGCAGAGTATTTGTTGCAACATGGAGCTGATGTGAATGCCCAAGACAAAGGAGGACTTATTCCTTTACATAATGCAGCATCCTATGGGCATGTAGATGTAGCAGCTTTACTAATAAAGTACAATGCATGTGTCAATGCCACGGGCAAATGGGCTTTCACACCTTTGCACGAAGCAGCCCAAAAGGGACTGATTTATTGTTGGCCCACGGAGCTGATCCTACTCTTAAAAATCAGGAAGGACAAACACCTTTAGATTTAGTTTCAGCAGATGATGTCAGCGCTCTCCTGACTGCAGCCATGCCCCCTTCTGCTCTGCCTTCATGTTACAAGCCTCAAGTGCTCAATGGTGTGAGAAGCCCAGGAGCTTCCACAGATGTTCTGTCTTCGGATCCATCCATCTCATCAAGTCTATCTGCAGCCAGCAGTCTTGATAACTTACCAGCGGGTTTTTCTGAATTATCTTCGGTAGTTAGTTCAAGTACAACAGAAGGTGCTTCCAGTTTGGAAAAGAAAAAGAGGTTTCAGGAGTAGATTTTAGCATAACTGAGTTTGTAAGGAATCTTGGACTTGAGCACTTGATGGATATATTTGAAAGAGAACAGATCACTTTGAATGTACTAGTTGAGATGGGGCACAAGGAGGTGAAGGAGATTGGAATCAATGCTTATGGACATAGACACAAGCTCATTAAAGGAGTTGAGAGACTTATCTCTGGACAACAAGGTCTTAACCCATATTTAACTTTGAATACCTCTGGCAGTGGAACAATTCTCATAGATCTGTCTCCTGATGATAAAGAGTTTCAGTCTGTGGAGGAAGAGATGCAGAGTACAGTCCGTAAACACAGAGATGGAGGCCATGCAGGCGGAATCTTCAATAGATACAATATTCTGAAGATTCAGAAAGTTTGTAATAAAAAAACTATGGGAGAGATATACTCACTGGAGAAAAGAAGTATTTAAAGAAAACCACAACCATGCAAATGACAGGATGCTGTTTCATAGGTCTCCCTTTGTGAATGCAATTATCCATAAAGGCTTTAGTGAAAGGCATGCATATATAGGTGGCGTGTTTGGAGCTGGGATTTACTTTGCAGAAAACTCCTCCAAGAGCAATCAGTATGTATATGGAATTGGAGGAGGTACTGGGTGTCCAGTTCACAAAGCAGGTCTTGTTACATTTGCCACAAGCAGCTGCTGTTTTGCCAGTGACCTTGGGAAAGTCTTTCCTGCAGTTCAGTGCAATGAAACTGGCGTACTCCCCTCCAGGTCATCACTCAGTCACTGGTCGACCCAGTGTCAATGGCCTAGCATTAGCTGAATATGTTATTTACAGAGGAGAGCAGGCTTATCCCGAGTACTTAATTACTTACCAGATTGTGAGGCCTGAAGGTATGGTTGATGGATAAATAACTGCTTTAGAAAACTAATTCCACTGAGCCTAAAATCACCGAAACAGTCGGTGGCCTCTACTTTAACTTGTTTGTTTGCTGAAAAAGTTATCTTGTCCACAGATCTGTAGCAGAAGGCTAAAAAAGAATGAAGCAAGTTTAACATTCTGAGTTGATAGAGCTTTAATAATGTACAGTGTTGGGCCTGGCGCGGTGGTGACGCAGTGGTTAAGGTCCTTGCCTTGCACGCACGGGATCCCATATGGGCGCCGGTTCTAATCCCGGCGGCCCCGCTTCCCTTCCAGCTCCCTGCCTGTGGCCTGGGAAAGCATTCGAGGACAGCCCAAGGCTTTGGGACCCTGCACCCGCGTGGGAGACCCGGAAGAGGCTCCTGGCTTCGGATCGGCATAGCATCGGCTGTTGCGCTCACTTGGGGAGTGAATCATCGGACGGAAGATCTTCCTCTTTGTCTCTCCTCTCTGTATATCCGCCTTTCCAATAAAAAAAAAATTAAAAAAAATAATGTACAGTGTTTTCTAAATAGTTCCTGTTTGTTAGCACTTTAACAGATGCCATTCCAGGTTAAACTGGGTCTGTCTGTACTAAATCATAAACAGAGTTAACTTGAATCTTTTTTACATTATGCATGATTGAAATAAAAACTACAATGTCCTTGCCAGAACTCATTTTATTAATACAGTACCTTGTTCGTTAAAGCACAGGATTTACACTGAATAATACAATTTCATTTCTAAAACTGTAAATAAGAGCTTTTGTACTAGCCCAATATTGATTTACATTGCTTTGTAATATACCTGTGTTTTAGAACCACAGTGGTTTACATAGTTCTACCTGTTGCTCCATCCATATTTCATCTTGCGTTGCTATGGTTTGACTCCAGAGGCTGTGTTGGGTTGTTGAGGAAATTGACTTACCAGATTGAATTTGCTGATAGAAACATTTGTCTCCCATTAGAAATCTTTTTAAGAACTTATTTGATAAATGCTCCAGGAATTCTAATTTCTGACCCCTTTTATATCTATAAGACAATGCATTTCAGAGAGTTCTAACTATGATAAGTTCTAATTACTAAAGAAGATTCTTTACTGGCCTCAAATGTAGGTTTTGCATTGGAAACTTTTCTAATGTCTTTCTGTGAAAATTAGAGCTATTGCTGCTATTTTTAAAGAGATTAAATTTTGCTTATGAACAGTTATGCTGTTTTTTTTTCCTGAACTGTAAATAGGAAGTTAAATTCCAGAGGTAGAAAGGGTAATTCTGGATAATTTTCCAATCTGTTTAAATTACCATATGTCTAAAGGGGGGGGGAGTAGTAAATTGGAATGGGTAGTTTTTTATCCAAAGTATTTTTGTTGGTATTACTGTGTTCATATCCAATTTTGGTACATACATCATGGGTAGACTCAAAACCATAAAGTACAGTGCTCTTCGTCTCCTGGTCTCCTGAATGGGCAAGTGCAGTGGCACTGGTGCTCCTTGGCCCTTGGTGACCTCTTTCATGCTGTTGTGCCCAATTGGAAATTCACCTGAGTTTGTGCACCTCATGGTGACAAACTGTTTTTTTTTTGTTTGT